TGGATTTTTATTAGGGCAATAAATATTTGCTAGTGTGCACTCTGTTCCCTGCAGTTTCCCTCTTAAGAACAAAAACCAACCCTCGGGGTCCACCAATCTATCCTAACAGCTAAATCTTATATTCTTTGCAAACCCAATTGATACTCCTTTTGCCCATTTTATTGGTAAGTCAGCATAGTACCAAGTTGGGTAATATTTGGAATATAACTTGATATGTGTATCTTAAGATACGTGTGTCTCTTGTAAAAAGACTACATCTATAGAACGATGATTTTTTTTCCCCCGAGAATCTTATGCCTTTTCAAAGTAGTATTCAGTCCTTTCACATTATAGGCCATGAAGGTCAACTCTATTCCTACTACCATTCCAACTCAATTGAGTGCATGTATTTATAATTTGCAGTAATAAAATATCTTCAAAATATTCTATACTGCCCATCCCTCCCATCCACCCCCCCTCCCCTTCCCCGTCTCCCTCCTCCATACCCCCAACTGCCCTACTTCCATCCCCCACACCCCTTGGCCCATTTCCAGCCCTGGAGTCAGATGTGGCATGTACACCTAACCGAACCCCCATCTACAATCTTAGGGTCCCGAAATCGGTACCTGTTTAACCTGCTGATACCTCGCTATCATTTTAGAGAAGCTCGATACTTATCTTCCACGAAGTTCTTCCATTGACCCCCCATCCCACCAACCTATTCCTATTTCAATCTCTTTTTGGAAACGAATTGCCACATTTCTTTTCCTAACAATATACTCTCCTTAGCCCCTTCAGACCATCCCAGTATGTCCAATATCTGTAAATCTGATCTTTCACAGAAGTCATCAGAGAATCTCAATTTCGCAGAGTGTCCATCTATCCAACCGATCAAGCATGCTGGAAACTCCCAGTTGTATCGAACATTTTTATTGTGCATCTGCTCCAGTAATGGTTTCAAAGATCTTCTGGCTAACGTCTCTGGTGCTAAATCTGCAATAATTTGTTGATTTGTTTCTCCATGTTTTATTGCAGAAATCCCTCAGATCTTCTTCCAGATAATATTGTAGCTTTATCTTCATAATAGTGAAATCGCACAATCACGTCCCTGGGGTTTCTGATGGCATTCCTTAGGGTCGTGTAGTCCTATGTACTCTGTCTATTTTCAGTTGGGCTGTCACTGGTCTACCTATCAGGGGATTAAACACTTTTCTCATTTCATCCAGCAAATCTTCTCAATTAGAAACCTCTGGCAGACCATGGATCCTCAGATTGTTCCTTCTGTCTCTATTCTCTCAATCTTCCAGCTTGTATGATAGCTTCCTTTGCTCTCTTCACATTCCTTCCACCTGCCATTCCAGCTTAATAATTATTTGAGCATGTTTCTCTATTTTTCCTCTGTTGCCTCCACTCATGTTAGAACTTGTCCCATTTGATTTATTATAGAGTGTTCTAATTTCGCACACATTTCTATAATTTCCATTTACATGAGCATTTGCAAACTTGTTACTTGTTCTTCTGTATTTTCTCTTTCTACTTTGCTTTCCATATTCAAATATTCTTTAGTCTGGTTTATGCTCAATATTCCTGATGACAGTCTAGACTGATCTTCTTTGTTGTTTCCCAGTTCATATTTTCCCTTTGCTCCCTGCTGTCTCTCAGGGGTATGACCCTCTGGGCTTTTCTCCTGCGGAGGCATATATTTTCTAATTGTGCTTGTACTTGATTGGGGTGTTTTCATTTATAGATCTATTCATTATGTTGATGTATGGCTCCTAGTTATACCACTCAGAAAAGTGTGCCGTTTCCAAAATTTCAGTGATTAAATTTATAATTTACTCCATGCCAGGGGCGGACTGACCATTCAAGCACTCGGGCAGTGCCCGAGGGCCCGGGGTCAGTAGGGGGCCCCATAAAATGCCCCTGGTGCCTTTTATAGCCTTTTTTGAGTGTGTTTTGAGTGTGGGCAAGGACACAGGGGCCCCCATGATCCCCAATTACCCAGGGGCCCCATGAGTTGTCAGTCCACCCCTGCTCCATGCACTCTTCTTTTCTTTTCCGGGATATATTTCCTTATTTATCCACGGATCAAAGGAAAGCTTTCTCCCTCTCCTTTTCTCCTGAATCCACTGGGTGACCCCTAATTTTCTTTTTTACAGTCTTTTTTTCCCAGCCACCTATGAGTTTTATTGCACCAGCATTCCCCCTTGAATACAGTTTAATACAGTCTATAAGGACACACTGCTTCTGCGGTAACTCACCACCGCTGCCAGCTTCCCAATGGTAGGACACCTCGTTCCCTTCTCCTTCCTTCACTCCAGCTGGTAATCTGCCTACTGAGGTTACTGAGGTGGCCGCATATGCAGGGGGGTCACGCTCCGTGGATATCACCGCTCCAGCGCTTTGTGTTGGCTCCTCTCTTGCAGCAGCGTCTCCCAGGATTCCCCTGCCGCTGTTACGTGAGTGCACCCAGCACTCCCCACTCCACTGATCCGGCTCTCTCCTCAGCCAGCCGGGGGCACAGTCTCTCAGTTCCCTCCGGGGCCACACCAATGTCATCACCGACTCTGCACCGGACGGGGACACATTACAGGACAGCGGTACAAGGCAGGGTAGGGTGGCTGCGACCAGTCAAGTTTTCCTATGCATCATTTTTGGCGGACATCAAGAGCACCTAACCTGAGAGACCTGTCGGTGCCATATTCAGGCCCCTCCCCTTTCCTATCACGATCATGCCAGTTTTTAGTTCAGTGACATCTGAGGGCCCAAAGATCACAGGCATCCAATACTGCTTTTGTCCTTGTCTCCAGATTCTTGGAATCTTTTGATATTATGTACTGTAGATGATAATATATATTTAAAGTCCTTGCCATTTTAAGTTGAGGAACATTATTATGAAATTTACATATACCGAATTTGCAGATCAAATTATTACAGATTTTTAGACACAGCTTTTCACATATTAGGGAAGTTAGAGACATTCTCTCTAAGGTGCTCTTGTTATACCCAATCATGTTACTGACCTGTTGCAAATTAATCCAATTTGTTGCAAAATGTTCTTCCAGCTCTTCCTTGTTAGTGCAACTTACTTTGACGGCTTTTTGTTGCACTGTCCCAACTTTTCGGAAACATGTTGCTGCCATCAATTTTACAATTACCTTTTTTTTTTTTTTTCTTAAAATGGTACATTTTCTCAGTTTAAACATTTGATATTTTTGTGGTTTTCTATTGTGATAAAATATGGGTTGATGAGATTTGCAAATATTTGCATTCTGTTTTTGTGTAGATTTTACTCAGTGTCCCAAATATTTTGAAATCAGGGTTGTAGTTCTATGAAGAAATCACTACAGAACACATAAGTACACAATCATCTCCTTCTACCCTTAGTGATTTTACCATAGGCAAATACAGATAAAATAAAATGTGTAATTATTCCAGATACCATTACAGTCAGGCTAAGGTTGGCTAAATGGTCCTGCACTGCAGTATAACTACACTTGTCCAGTGTCAGTGAAGGGTGCTTATTGTAAACGCAATTTGTGTTCCAGGTATATATGAGGAGAAATGGTGTGTGTTTGTGTGTTTTTAGAAATATTGTGGACTTCACTGCTGACTGGCAGTCGTGATTTTAACAAGTATGCCAAAAAGGAGATATGATTTCTCTCTTATTCTATATTTCCTGATCTTTCAGGTCAGTGGCTGAAAAAGAACTGAAGTCTAAAGATAAGCTTCAATGCCAGGTAGCTAGCATTTTAGAAGTTGGTCAGCAATGCCAGTACCACAACTAGGCACTGGTTTCCTTTAAAGGAAGTTTAAACAGTGGCTTGGTTTCTTCACTGAAAATTTTCCCTCATTCAAAACCATTTGGAAATCCAGCTTAAAAATTACACGTGGACCTGACATATCAGACTGATATCCTAATTTCCTAGTTGAAATACACTGGTGTCCCTCTGAATGCTGGCTGTGACATGGGAGTGATGTGTCACTCCTTTTGTATCTAGTTACCAAAATGTGTTGGATAAATATGTAAGTAATCTGAATTGAGCATTTTTCCATTATATGGCATATTTATCACATGACAGTGGCAGGAGTTTTGCTGTATGCTTTATTACAGTCTTGATGCTGGCTGTTGCAGTCTTGTAATGTGGTGTGTGTGTGAGAGACTTCTATCCAAGACACAGTTGGGTCTAGTAGGCACAATTTTGTTAAAGTGTTACCAAACCCACAACCGTAAAATCAGTCTGTATATGCAGTAAAGCATTCTAGCTATACTCACTGTAGAACCTAAAGGGTTAATCCCCTGCGTTGTATATAAAGGTTGTTTGATCCTTTCTTCTCTGCCCCTCCTCTTGTTGAAATGAACACCTGATACAGACTGAATCTGTAGTCACATGCACATGCTCAATTTGGTGTGTATTGCTAGAGAGGGTTTTTTTTTTTTTTTTTCATAGGAGAGGGCATGTGATCAGCACAGGGCTTGAGCACAAGACTGCTCTAATTGCTGATGAGTAAAGGTATTTAACGGTTTATATTTACTAAAATAATTGCATTTCCACATTGTGTGTACTGGGGGAGACCAGATATAGTGAATGCAGGGTCCTGGGTTTAGTATCACTTTAAGGTAGGGGATTACTGATTGATGCAGTTTGTCAGTCAAGCTTCATGAATGGATCTAGGTCAGCTCATTTAATGGTACTGATTCAATGGCCGTCAAGAGATCCCTATCACAAAGGTAATACTTTCCCCTTGCTTTCATCTGATTTTGTCTGTGCTATTACAAGTCTTCCCATTTTTGTTTTAGTAGAACAAAACATTGTGACTTTTTACTAACCTACAGTCTCTAGTCTCTTATCTATAGTTGTTGTCTTGTGAGATCAATAACATAATTTTTTTTTATGGATTCATCTCTTCTTTGATACCTTATTCTTACATTGTATGAATTATATCTTGATATAGTAGTATCAACATTTTTTTTTAAACATGATGCACTAAGGAGCTCTATGCCAGCTGCCTATACCTACCAATTAATTTCTTTATCATGCCAGCAGAGGCACTACCCATGCTGAATCTCCCACTGTTTAGAATGTTCATGGCAACCTGAAAATCAGACATCTCTTATTAACAAAATTCTACAAGAGAAAATTTCTAGAAAATCTTTCAACAAGAGGAGAAATGGTCAGTTACATTGCACATGTCACCGGTATACAGTCACCTGTCAGAAATTATTTAATGGATTATAAGACATGAATATTGTTTAGAAGACAATTTGTGAAATTGGGGAGCAGAGCAACACATTAACAGTAAGAACAGGGTGACAGACAAAAATTATCATTTGTGTGAGAACAGAACTAATAAAAATCTTTTATGGCTGAATTAGATGGACTTTTGTCTTTTTTTTCAGCCAGACTTACTATGTAACTATGTAAAAAAGACATCATTTGCAGGGATCACACCATACCTTAAAACCTCCGCCAACCTCACCAATGACGTTCTCTACGGGGATCTTGGTGTTTTCAAAGTGAAGTTCACAGGCTGAAATTAAATGGGAGACGTGTTTTTACATGTGCTACATTCTACATGAATATCAATTCTCCATTTATTGAAAATATAGCCAAGCGTGACAGGCCACCTAATACAGCTGAACCATGCCAACATCTTTACACGACAATGGTTCACAGGATCAAGTGCCCAGGAACCTGTTATACCTGCTGTATCCTGATGCACGCAGATTTCGTGGCCCCTGATTGTGACCCATGCTCCCCTATGCCTTGCTATTGGTCAGTGAGTCTACCCAACATAGTGATGGGTCAAATGCAGGGTGCAGGACAAGGGAGAGGAAGGACCAGTGCCAACAAACATGGTAACTGGTTGCTCTTGGCAGTGAGAAGCACATTGTTATTTTCTGGAAGAACTTAACATAAAAACATACTTGGTGTGCAGGCTTTTTTTTTTGTACAGTTTTACTTTACATGAGCAATAGAAAGGATCTGAAGGTTGAAGGGGGCATGGTCAAGATGGACTTTTGCAGGAAAGTCTGCTTCATAATCATGTACTCCGTTTGAGTTGCACAGCTTTGTGTCAGATTTATGCAATGACCTGGACACTGTTATGTAGCACATGTTATAACACTTCTGTTGTTTTTTTTGGCAATGTTAAGGTTTATTTAAAAGGGTGCTGGAGTCAGTGTGTTACATCTCACCTCATTTTATTGAACTGTGTTAAGCTGGCCATAGATGGTTTGAATCTTGACCAGTTCAACAGGGTGGCAGGTTGAATGTACCCAAGTTGATTGATCGATCAACTTGGGTACGACCAACCTGTCTGATTTTCCATGCGATTATTGCAAGCGGCTATTATCGCTGTCCCTGCCGGGAGAAACAAAATGGCTCCACGTGAGAGATTCCCTCATCAACACAGTAAGTGGTTGCAAGAAAGAAAATCACTCTGTTTATGGCCACCGTTACACACTTAATACAATTTAACATGACACTTGAAATGTAACATTCAACTGCACTGCTATGATCATCTCACATTTCCTTGGAGCAAATGGTGAAACATATGAAAAACAGATGAGTCACAATGCCAACAAATGGTAAACTGGTAAAATATTCAGAGAAATTAGAAAATTCTAAAAAGGTAGCATATTAAAAAAAAAAAAAAAAAATACAACATAGCAATGCCATATGTAAAAGAGGGAAAAAAAAAACATTATTGAAGTAAAGCAAGCAAAGATAAGCATCAATACAGATACGTGATTAAATATAAGGATAAAGTAGAATTCTGGTTAAATAAAAAATATCCAGACATTTTTTTGAAAATGGGTTTAGCCCTGCCCTACTCCCATAGAATATCCTCTCCAAAACTAGACAGAGTTCCTCTTCCAAGTTAAATGACCACCTCGTCAAGTTTTTATTGCTGACTGTGTCCTTACTGGGAGAGTCCCCTCTTTTTTTCTGTGCCAGCGAAACTAGGACAAAATATGAGAGGGTAGGGGTGCTAGAGGGACAAAAAACAAAGCATGAAAAAGCAAACAGATATTGTCTCTTCACCCCTCAAGATAGATATCCCCTCCTTCCCTGCCCTTTTTGACACTCTTTTAGTAGAACAGAAAGTAAATTTACCCAGTGGGGACACAGACGGGAATAAAGACCCAAAAGACTATCTAACTTTTTCCCTGACCGGTACAAAACGAAAACAGTTTTGAATGGAGTTGGTTTTTAATGCGTCCATGAGGTTAACTTAAAGAGACAAAAACAGTCTCATCTCACTGAACCTTTTCCCAAAACAGATTATATAAAACATTGTGGTGTTGCGCATTTATGTATCATTTCATTGGATTTTTGTTTAACAAAAGACATACAAGCTAATGCAAGCCACTATCATCTAACATACACATGTCACACCGGGCTCATTTAACCAAGTGCTTCTTTATAAAATTATATCCAGCGGATTTGGAATGTTTTACATAATGATGTAGTGCCAGCAGAAATCACAGCATTAACGGAAACACATTACACAAAACCGTGAAGTGCTCAAATTAGAGCAATTAAACTGTTTCAGCTTCTAAACGTGTAAATAGACTACAAGCTGCTGTCCCGGAGCCAGTGATTTATAGTGTGGGTCAGTGCTTTAGTGTTGAAAGAGGACTCCATTTCTACAGCAGCTTAGTGAGCACTTTTCAGATTAAATTGAAAAAATATAAGAATCCTACATCGTAGTAGGAAGAGATATGTGTTGCACTACTGGCTTACCATTCATTACAAATAAAAGCAGATTGGTTTTATGCAGCTGCTCAAGGAATACACCTTGATCAGCTGGAAGCATGATCCAGTCCGTTTTCAAGCATATCTATGCAAACTGCCTCACAAATGGACCTCATTTATAAAAACTGGGGAAAGTGTCTGTTTGGCCATTAACAATCTGATCATTTCTTTTTCAGGATCGCACAAGAATTAATGACAGTTGTAATCTACCTATAGCAAGCAATCCAAGTGCTGCATTTTCCAGCCTGGCTTGTAAGCAAGTAAGCAGGAATAGACTAATTAAAATAGAGCTTAGCTTAGTACTATTCATACAAGGATCAGGCCCTCCTATCCCTCTTGTATTGAACTGTATTGTTGCTGTATTGCCTCCCGTTATATTGTAAAGCGCTGAGCAAACTTTTGGCGCTATATAAATCCTGTATATAATAATAATAATAATAATAATAATAAAAAATAGTCTGATAGCATTCCAATTCAGTTTAAAAAAAAAAAAAACCTATTTGAAAATCACAAATGAAGGCCTCATGGACTAAAAGTCCCACACTATTAAGAATTCAACATGTGGCCATTTTTCAGCATGTTAAATCTGCATGAGTGTATCATGATTGTGAATGACACTCCAACACATTGTACAGTAGAGCACAAGGCACTGCAGCATACCACAGCACACATACAGTGCGTTGTGGTGTGTTACATTGTGAAATAATGGTGATGCACATTTTTTCATCTGTTGTGGTGTGTTGGCAGTCCACTCATAATGAACAGGCTGCCTAAGGCTCCTTTCACACTTGGGGCCAGGGAGACAGTTGATCTCTTTGCATTGCAGTGAGACAATTTAAAGTCTTCAGAGCACAGAATTGACATCACTGGAGGAGAGCAGACAAGGAAATACATTTTTCATATTGTGCAATTTGCCACAATGTCAACTGCTCCAAGGATAATCCATTCCGGCTTTAGGTCATTATAATAACACAGCCTTAAGGCTCTGTTCACACTTGTGCATTTGAGGTGCAGTGTGCTGTATGTGCATTTTACATGCAATGCCACTAAACTCTGTGTAACATGTGTCCAGCTGGAAACCTCAGCAAAAATGAAGCAAACAGGGCTTTCACACCAAGCTCACAATGCACATAAAAGACACAATGTGAATGGGGCCTAACTCTCAAGGAAGGATATGTGATGCTATTTACTAGTATTCTCTTCCTGTACCAACAGACTGAAGTGTGTGTGATAGTGCCAGACCAATAGAAGTGATAGTTGATTCCACTGGATCTACCATAAAGTGATTTTTTTTTCCATCAAAGAAGCAGATATGTGGTTGAATGCCATTCCTGTATTGGGCAGTAAGATCCCCAAGGAGGTTGACCTGTCTGAATCACACTACAGTTGAGAAAGCCTATGTTTGTTTTTCTATTTGTTATATTTTCTATTAGTGGTTTCTATTGATTTAAAAACAAAAACAAATAAAAGGTCATACAAACAGAAGCCAATCCATTCTTTCCTCTACATTACTCAAGATATGCAATAAAAACACAATTATAATACTGATTGGAGATGGGTTTGAGTGGATTCCAACAGCTAGAAATTGGGTATCAAACAATTATATTAAAAACATATGCAAATTACAACTTGCAATCAAGCTATCCATCATGCTAGTGGTGATGTCACAGAGAGCCATCTTCCACAAAAAATGAGACACCATATCAACTACAGCAATCTTCTATCTTGCACAAGGCAATATAAAAAACATTCATCCCAAAACAGAAAAGAAGAAAGGTGGTAAAACAGAATGAATGAACAAACACCCTTCCACTTATATTGCTAGGTTATCTTCAAAACACATTCTCACCCAGAGAATCCAGTGTGTCCCACTGTGAACCACTGTTTGGGTGACAGCCGACAACATGCTGCGCCCACCCTCTATTCTTTCTGTGTGCTTGATCTTGCAGCCTCCTGGGATACTTACATTGCATCTCCCAGGAACACATAATTCTGGCCTAAGCCAGAACAGCAGCCAGGACTGCCAGGGAAAAATTAAAAATACAGAAAAAAGATCTTTTGTAATTGCAAAAGGGGGGGGGGGGTTAAACTGAACATAGTTCTGCTTTAAGTTGGGGGCTGTATGTGTCCTATCCATAGATTTCAAACCCTCGCACACCTTGCCTGTTAATCCTGCAGGAATTTTACTATTTTCTCACTAGGCATTGTTCAAGTAATTTTATGTTTCACAGCAGCAATTATAGAAGTCTTCCAAGCAATTGATACCTTGCCATGTAGAAGATATGCATAAGGGAATGCCTAGGATTGTCATCAATTGGTTGATTTAAGAGGGTCATTCAAACATTCTAGGAGATATTGATCATGGTGACAGAGTGTATCAGTGCATCTACTCTTGTTGAAAAACTTCTAATAATGGGGGAAGTCCACCAAATATGGAACACAGTGCCCACTGGCCCACACCTCAAACATAAGGGACAAGGGGTAGACTTTGGCGAGCTGGAGAGGACTTTATAATTAGCCTCTATGAGGTCCATATGAAGTATTACTCTGTGTATTCTGAAGGTCCATATGTTCCAGTCCTCTTCATGGTTCTCTGACCTCAGTTCCTTCTCCCAAGCTAGTCTATAAAGTAGCTTGGTAGAGATATAACTTGCATAGTACTGAAATGCCCTCAACTCTGTGTCATATCAAGCATTCAGCTGTTTTCAAACCCAGTTCTTACAGTAATACTACTTTTCTCTTTTTTGAAAGTATTTAGGAAATTCAACA